AAAGTTCTCTAGTGGTGAAGGATATGGAAAGTATCCATAAGGGGTAAATATCTATTTTGTGGCTTTGTGTTCTTAAAGTTTTGATAGGAATAAAGATATTGAAATGTTTCTTACTAGCTCATTTCTTACCACCTGTTTTATCCTGAGAAATTGCCATTTGTTTGTCCTTTAGCAAAAGGCTAAAAATAGTAGGGTTTTTTCATCCAATAGAATTGCAAATAGAATTAAGTCTCCTAAAATATTTTTTAAATACGTGAAAAATATAAAACTATGGTTCATCCATGTTAAATAAAAAATAGTTAAACTTGGCTCTCCTTTGAGTAGGAATAGAATAGATAATGCCTAGTCTTAAGCTTCTGAAATTTCATTGGTAACTCTTGGGGTGTTTATGTAGAATGGCTTGAGGGGCATACTTGCTTGCTTCTTGTGCAGGATATTCTTCCTCTGTCTGAACAGGGTGTCAGCAGACTACTTATCGGTCCAGGCTGTTGACTTCACCATAAAAGTTAATGAGTGGGAATGAAGAGAAACACTGTGATATGCAGGACAGCTTTTTAGCTTATGGTTTCTCTCAATAAATTTAAATATTATGGAAAGAACCCATGCACCAGCAGGAGGAAGGATTTAGCTTTTAATCACTAAAGTAAACTGAATCTGTTCAGATTTCAGCACCAGTAAATGTCCTGGACAGAATGTAGACATTGCAGTTAGACAAAACAGTGAAGTCTGTCGTATAATATTTAATGAAATACATTTCTGGCTACATTAGAGAAACACCTTTTAATGGGAATGACAGAATAATTTATGAATGTATTCAGGCTTCAGTATGTCTCCACTTTTAAATTAGATGATAAATATTTGAAAGATGTAGGAGGGGCACTTGTGTACAGCAAATCAACTATCTTAATAACATTAAACAATAGTCAGGGAACACCACATAAAGCAAATAATGTTATGGATCAGTGAATTAAATGAATTAGCACCAGCAGTCACAATTTTGTCACTGAGCCAGAAGGTGCTGCATGCATTACAACGATATATTCATAGTCTGGAGGAGCAGCAGGCAGCTGGCAAACCCTGCCAGCTGGCATAGCAGCATCTACTGGCGTCAGCCGGATTTTAGCTGCTTACCTGTCACTGCCAGCTACAAGCAAGTCCCAATATGCTGAGAGGTGATCAGTGATTTGTCTTTTAAAAGCATAGACTAAATAGTTCAATGCAGTCTTTACAAACTTTCATTTTATTTGCCTTATGGTTCTTATGACCTGGAAAAGTGCTGATTTTTTTGTGTCTCCTTTCCATTTGGAATTCACACACATATTTAATTCCCTGTCAGTGACTTCCCCAGAATAACCATAATTTGGGGCAAAACGAGTGTCTCTGAAAAGATGTTCTCTGTTTTACTACTGATTATATATTTTTGTCGCAAAATCTTCCAAGTTACGCATTGGCTCTAAAAATCTACGACAAAAGTCCTACTTAGCATTACAGCTGTGTTTTTAGAGCAGTTTTATGCCCAATTTAAGCTATTCTGTTGTCTTGTTGCTCCATTTTTGCTCTCTAATGAATAAAATATTAGCCTTCAGTTACAGATATCAGTTGAAGCTATTTCAGGTAGTCTGAGTCTAGTTTGATGCCTGGTAATTGTGACCATCTGTACATGTGTCTAAAATGCATGTGAACATACAGTTAGTTGGCCATTTTAAAACATGAATCTCTGGTTTAGTTTTTAAAATTATACAGGGTCTTCTTTAAATTTTTTTTCACTAATCTTTTAAGGAGGAAGTCCTGCTTAGCAATGTGAGCTAGTTTGATCATATCTGGAGAATATATTAGCACTTAAAAATACTTTAATAGAATGATTTCAAATGTCATATTGTCTACAATGGCTATAGTCTGGAAAGGTTTTGCCTCAAACTAGGCATGTCTAATGGGGTTTATGACAACCTATGAATTTGCCCCTGAACAAGGTCAATTTGGAGGTCAGTGAATGCTATACAAATTGCATACTACTCAAGCCTGTAATTATCCCTGTAAGAAGTTAATGTGCTGTGGAGTTCAGCAAATTCATGTAAAGCTTCAGAAATGACCATGATAAACTGAGCAGTTACTTACATTTGCTCTGAAAAATCACAGTCAACAGGATGTGATGCTTACAGAGTATTCATTTATGGTAACTTGTAGTCAAATCATCTTGTCTGCTTCTGTACTCAGGAGATAAAGAGCCTGAATTCTTTCTCATTTGAAGAAAACACTTTAAATATTATTACTTCCTTAATATCCAGCATATGTGCTTGTTCATATAGGTTGAAAAAAACTCTCAAGATAGATAGATTTTATTTCCAATTTTGGCAGAAAATATGCAACATCTAGTTTAACATAAGTTCATTAAATGTTGAGTCCGTACAACAGAGACATGAAATATCTGTCAGATCTTTGTTGGAGGCAGCATGTATTCCAACTTGTTCATGTATTGTCCAATTTCAGTACTCCATAAAGAAGAACTAACTTTGCATTTTCAGGTGAAAATATCACTATCATTTCTCTTTTTCCTGTATTTTTCAGCTACAGATCTACTTTTATATAGGTGAATAACTAAGTAGTTGCACAGTTAAATATTCCTAAATCCCATAAAACATAGGTAAGAAACATTTGTATGAGTTAGTATAAATTTTGTTAGTTAACTGTAATGTGAGCATGTATAAGAATATTACAGGGACAAGGGATAACAATTACTTAAAGTTTTTAGTATTATTAAATATCCAAATATTAGTGTCACCCAACTATTAAAATTAAATTTGGATACATATAGATTAAATATTGTTCAGACTAGGAAATATAAATTTAGGAAAACTTAGCTATTAGTTTTAATTTTACATGTTAGTTATTTTTAATTGTAGTATAGTTAGTATTTTTAATAGTATTTGGTCACCAACACTATAAAGTAAGCCACCTGCTTGGATCTGAACATTTCTTTTTTTGAAGAGCTTATGTCTGTATTGCATTTCATGATGTGCTGCTATCACATCTTCCTTACGACATAAATCAAAATCACAAATACCAACAGTCCAAACATTCTGGGAAGTTGGTTTTGACATTTCTAACATCTGAACTACACTTCTAAAATTCTGATGTTTTACTTTTCATTACTTTATTTATGGACTGATCCACATCAGTATCACTAATTTCAACCAACCAGAACAACTTCCTCAAGGTTTCCCTGCCTCCTTTTTCTTCTCCTCTGCCCAGCCAACATCTGAAAAGATTACAATCTGAATGTCAGTATATTATACTAACAAGTGTCTGTTACTCAAAATGTGAACAAAATCCTCAAATCCTTGTGAAGTGTCAAGGGTGAGGAAGAAGCACGTTCAGACAAGAGTGAAAGAAATCCTTTCAGTAGCCCCTAGTGTTCCAGAATTAGTGTTGAGAGGGCACAAGAAGAGAATTCTCCAATCCTCCTTCATCAAGAATTGTTCCTTTGTCAAAAAGATAGACTTGAATGTGTTCACACTGAACTGTAAACTAGCAGACAAATTAAGGAACTTGTGATGTACTCAGAATGTCTTAAATAGTTCTGCCCTGATCACCTTAAGGAGAAGGGGGAAAAAGTATATTCCAGAAAAAATATTTCATGTGCCTTTTTTTTCTTTCTTAATAGCATCCTACAAGTAAGAGGTTATGTTCTTTACTAGACCTGGTGAGAATTCAAGCTTACATTTATCAGCCATTTGTTAAGGTGCAGAGCATAGAGATAAGATGAAGGTCTTACTACTACATTTAGGTTTGATGTTTGGAGAGACATTGCATTCAATTCACAAATAAGCTTCTGTCGTTAATATGAATGAATCCTTTGTAGAGTGTTCATCTGATCTCAGATCATTTTGTATCATCTTTCTAGATTATCAAATTGCTGGATGGAAAACGGTCTCAAACTGTAGGAATTTTAATATCCAGTTTGCACCTGGAGATGAAGGATATTCAACAAGGTAAGTGTTTCTTACACTTAATGTATCATATTTGCATGGATATTTTCTCATAGTCCCCTTCAGAGAATTTCTTACATTACAGAATGTGCTTTGAATCATCCTCTTTAAGATATCAGAAGAATCATTCTTCCAGTATATTCTAGTGTATGTAAAAGTTTCACCCAAATAATCAGAATTTAATTTAGGTACAACTCCTTCTGTACCATTTCAGTTCACATATCACTTTCAGTACAGTGTTTTCTCAAAACTGTTTCATATTCCTCCCCTACGGTTCCCTCCTTTGTCTTAAGCAAGTCCTCCACTGACAAAAATGAAATGGAGGGCTTACATATAAATCTTTTGGGCTTCAAACATGGAGTCAGTATTTGTTAAATGTTTAAATTTTGCTTCATTAGCAGTCTAAAAAGCACATCCCAAACTGATGCAGCTACCACGTAGCAATCAGAAAGTTTATTACTGGATGGCATTTTTCAAAGTCTAGGGCTACTTAGTGTATAAATTCCATTACTGGTCTGAGTTTGCCAATACAACTGTAGAGAAATACAGATTTTTCAGAACACTGGGGTAATTCAGATTCTGCTTATGTTCTGGATTTAAAAAGATTTTGTTTAAGGATATTGTTTATTTCTTTTTCACATTAAAAAAAGGAAAATATTCACCATTTAAAACAACTGCTGGAAGAATTCAAGTTGATGTCCTCTTTTTGCTATTGTTTTCCCTCCATCACATGCAAATACTGGGTAGGGTGTTGAGATGCTGCTGGCATTGATTATTATTAATTTCAGAAGAGCCTTTGAGCATCTAGCACTTTAAAAGCACAAGGGCTTACAGATGTCTCTTGGGATGGAGGGAAACAACGAAAAGAAGGAATAACTTTGTGCCTGCCAGTATTGTGTGAAAGGTATCAGAATGAGATGGAAAAAAACTGCTGTTACTAAAGGTCTGAGTAATTTGCTGGCAGGAATTACAGCAGCATAGGATAGAGTAGGATAGCAGCTGTATTATAAAAACTGCGTAGTATTCTTAAGTACCTTCAGAGATGTTTTCCTGACTTTTTATTTTCCATGCCATGATGTTCTACTAAAATAGAACATCTCTCTCTCTCTCTCTCTCTCAGTTGTTTGCTGTACTTCTATACCTTTTGAAACCCTCTGGCCAATTTATACAAAATTTAAGAGAAAATAAATTTGGGTATGTATACACTAGCATTTTAGCTTGAATCAGCAGTGGACTTTTGAATCAAATCTACCAGTTGTCCCCTTTGCTGTGTTTGCATTGCAGAGCAATGCAGAGCAGTCTCAGAGTGCACAAACATCCTTCAGAATTAAATTAAATGAGAAGATGTGCTCTAGGAGCACACCAGCAGTCTCCACCTATAGCAGGCTTTAAATTCCACAGGATCAGATCAGAGATAGTTAAAACTCTCTGAAATGTGTATAGTGTGAAAACTGGATCCTCAGTACCAGCTGTTGCTGTCTACAAATCCATTTCTAAAGACTACACTACTTGCAGTTGTAGACATAGCTAATGTAGTCCTACAAGTTTAATGAAAATTAGAGTGTTGGTAGAAGAGAGACACCAAAAACAAGTGCTGTCACTGAAGGCAAGTTTATAACTCATCACCCTCTCTATTCTGAGATAGCAAATGACTGGCCTGTCACCACATGTGTTGCTCAAGGCAGCAATAGGATATGCTGCCTCTTGCTTATGGAAACAGCTAGGAGATACAAACGTGATTTGGGAATACTGTTAGTGGAACTTTTTTTTTTAAATATATTACAAAGCAGGATGAGTGACTCTAATCTGTGCAGAGACTATCTACGGGAAAAAAAAACAGTTCACCAGACTCAGGGAAAACGTCTGTTCTGTAGAGAGGATCTTTAGAAATGCATACTACAATGAAGACAACAGGAGAATTATGCTTGTTTCTCTTTTAGTGTGTCTTTATCCCCTAGTATTTTGTTTAATTTAAATCTGTGTGCAGTCCTGCCTATCAGCAGACAAATTCTTTGAAGACCGTACTGGATGAAAAAAGATCATAATAAGCTAAAATGATAACACAACCAAAAAAACAGATGATCATTGTGTGATGAATGTCAAAGTTCTTTTTTTTTTTTTTTACAAAGTGAAGTTACAAAGAGCTACCTCTAAGAAACATGAAAATTAAGCACTCATCCCTTTTTTCAAGCCAATTTCCATTGCATAATTCAGTATGTGAAAGACAGGGAAGAGAAAAGTTTATGGTCTTTGGCAGCTTGCAACAGAGAATGAAGAAACTTGAAGCAAAAGGAAGTCAAAATGAAAAAAAAAGGATATCTAATTTTATTTCAAGTTTTTCTGACCATGTTTGTTGAAAAGCCACATACAAATGAATTTACTGTCCATGTATATAGTGTACTGGTTACTCTACCTTAAGTAGCAGTTACAGCAACACAGATATAGAAAAACTGTCCTCAAATGAACTGCCCTATGCATACAGATGCATGCAAAATTGTAGAGAAGACAAAACAAGAGTAATCACAAGAAAAATTACATCCTTCTTTAAAATAGCATGAGATTTCTGCATCTACAGGATTACCCTCTCAAATTAAATAGCTTCACAGCATATTCTGTAGATAGCTCAGGAGTGCAAAACAAGCAAGTGACCGTATCTGGCACCCAGATGTTTCAGTTTGCATTTGATAATGAGCCAGCTGCCACACTTCAGGAAGGGAATCTCCCACACATGTTTGAGACAGTGAAGTTCATCCTTTGCAGATAAGTTTAAATTCTTGCTGTATCTGAGTACAATCTAGGGAGAAGACAATGTAAAATAATAATTATTTTGGCTAGTGTTGGTATTATATGATGCAGAGGGAAAGTTAACATTGTCATGCTACACCTGTCCTAATACTCAGCTTTTTGGTAGGTGGGGGAGGAGAAATCCTGGGTGCTGTAACATTCTGAGAACACAAACAAATTTTATTGGTGAATCTGGTACTGAAGAGGATAATATAGTTTCTGATGATACTACTATTAATAATATTCATTTCCTGAGCAGACGAAGCAGACAGAAAATCTGTCTGTCTCAGTATGCTATATAGGATCTCTATTTATATATAAAAATCAAATAACAATAATCAAATTGTGCATAGGTTTGAGATTATTTTCAAGGCTTCTTCTCTGCCTTTTTTTAAAACCTTTATAAAGAAGAGATGAGGAATAGTGGAGAACAGCTGTTAGGTAAGGAACATGCTTTAATGCTACACACTTAGAGAAATAATCTCCATTTCGTATCAATGCACTTCTGTCTTACTTTTCCTATCATTGTTCAGCTGAAATATTACAGCTTGAGAGACACACTTGTGACTCAAGACTACTTATGTGGCTTTGCTTTTGAAATATTACAACTTACTCCACAGTGAGGTGTTTCAGTTCCGTTTCTAATGGGAAATGCTGATTATAACTGTATGCGAAGAGCCTCTGTGGGCACCGGTCCCAACTTTTTACAGGACAACATCCCAGTCACTCAGAGAGTTCCCAATATAGTAGCTAGCAATAGCAGTATGCTGGAAAACACATAATAATACTCTTTTCTGCAGCATACGTCATCTGTGCTGGCTTCCCACGAGCTACTGAGATCTTTGTTCAAGAGTAAACTGTCAAAATTGTGGGGCAGCCCAGATGAAAAAAAGTTTTAGTTATAGAAAATGGTAAAGTAAGTAAAATGTAGATGCCTATGTCCAAAAGAGTGATCCTCCCAAATCCCTCCCTACCTCCATAGTACCTGCATTTTGCCACTAAAATTGTGGGGCACCAGAAGTTCCGCTTCTGTACATTGCTGGAAATATTTCACCGTCTAGTACCCCTGATTTCCATCAGGATGCATTAACTATATGGTCTCACATGCTGGTATATTTTCCTTGGGACCAAATCTATGAGATGCGGTAGATCACACCACATGCACACTTTATATCTTATTGCACTCTTTGTGACAATAAAGTGCCATTTTACTCCATGCAGAACAGCTGCAGGCTTTGCTAGTACATTTACCAAGAGTTTAACGTTATAGCACTGCAACACTGACAGAACTTAGCCTATATGGCAAAGGGGAGAATTTAACACTGATCCTTGGCATTGAGACTATTTCTAATGCTAATTTAGTATTTTTTTTCTTTCCTAGATTTTAAGCATTTAAATATAATGTCTGAGACTCCATTTATTAAATCAGAATAGCACTGGCCAACCTGTAATAGCATGTATGGGGACCTGGTATGTTTATTGTGCATTTGGAACATTCTTGTGTTCACCAACAATGTAAATTATCTATGCAGAGGCACATTAAGCTTTGAAAATATTAGAGAAATGTATTTGATCACACTTAGATGGGATGGATTAGAATGGATTTTGTTAAAAAGCTTAGGTCATGCCATCTGCTTTTGTAGATTCACCTTCATTATTGGTTTTTTTTTTTTGGTTGCCTCTCCAATGTGGAATATATTTTTATTATATTGTCACAGTAATTATATTCTGATGGTGAGCAATGCAAATAACTACCATGCCACTCTGCATCAAAATTTTTTGCATGGTATTGTAGGAGGGGACCAACTTTCTAGAAAGAACACAGTTATGATACTATTGTACAATGTCAGTCAACCAGTTGAAAAGTGTTTGATTGGTCTTCTCCAACTTTGTGATTTACTCTCCATTGTCAACATACCAGAGTAAATAATTGGAAGAATGTGAACGGCAGATTAATTCACCCAGACTGATGATCAGTCCAATAATCATTCTAATTCTATATTATGTTTCTAATCATTCTGGGATTTCTGTGTGGTCTTCCTTTAATGACAGGCCATAGACGTTATATAAATAGGTTGTATTGTCTTCGTGCAATTTAGGGTTTATGGTACATCTCAACTTTAGAGAACAGTATCATTGTTAACCAGGCACTTTTCTTAGCATCTGAAAGACTACGTTTTATATGTGTAAGGCAAACTATTCCAAAGCAACTCTAATCTGCAGACCTTAGTGTGCTCAGAATTTCTGAATCCCAATTTGTGTTTTAACCATATCATGCAGCACAAATAGTTTCACAGTTCCTTTCTCTATTATATTTTGGAAATACTTCTGGATAAAGATAAATGCTTTGGAATATTTCTTACTTGCACTATGTGAAAAGAGTTTTATTGGGGTTTCAACTAAAATATTTTGCAGGATGGAAGTATAGATTATAAAGTTTAAAGACTGTTGTTCCAAAGTTGCATGACTTTTCTACCTACACAGAATATTACATGTATGCATTCTATATATACAGTATACTATGCATGAAGTATAGAGATAGCTGCATACCCATCTCAGAAGTTGGGAAACAATTTTCTTTAAAAGTTATTTTCTTTGTTCTAGAAAATTCACAACATATGTTTTTGTGAATCTGCCTTGGGCATCCAGCCTGATGTGGGTAGGTTAACATTAGTGCCAGAGTCTTTTGCTCATGACTTCTTGCAGGAGTTGAACTTTTAAAACCTACATTGTGCCTGTGGTCCTTCTTTGTAATGTATATTTTAATGCTTTTTGTGTTGCATGATAGTTAAATACTGGAGAAAACCTTTAAATAAGTTTAGAACGTATCAATTTGTCAGAAGTAAACCAGAGCAATTTGGTTATTTTAGGCAGTTTTGCCAAGTAGGGATTTGTATTTAACAATCATCGTCATTTTCTAATTGACTAGATCAGTCACAATTTAATTTAAATTTCCCTGTGACAGGCTTCATGTTCCCATGAAATCAAGCCTTACTCAGCAGAATATACTACATAAAACAATTAAGTACTTCCAGGTCAAATAAATGTACCTTTGGCAAGCTCTTTTTATTTAAATAACATATTCTGTTTTATCATTAGGGAGCAGTTAAGGTGATTTCTTCATATTTCATAGTTTAATTGTCACATTAAGTGGTCTGATACTGCTGAGTATATGTAAGCTCTGTCAGCAGGACTTAAATCCTGATTTAACCAAAATGTGTTTAGTAGGAGTCAGGCTGTATATCAGAGTCAGCCTTAAGACTGTTGGTATTTAAGCTGGTTAAGAGGAAAGAAGTATCTTTTTCATATTTAACCTCTAAGTTCTACAGTTGTATGTAGACTGCACGCAGTATGCTTTAAATTCTCAGCTTTTCTTTGGTTTACATTTTTGAAGTGATAAAACAGAGTATGTGAAAAATCTGTGCAGTAGGGAATCTGCTTTTTACAGCTAGATTCGTTTTAAAAAAGTGAGTCTGTTAAAAACCTTTGGTTCAAGTTTATATTCGAAGCAATACTCTTAGTATGTGAAATGTAGTTGGCAAGTATTTTTATGTGTGCCTGTTAGTTTGAATGCATGATGCTGATCTGTTTTTTGTCCTAGCTGACGGTTATTATATCCTAATGGGTGCAACCCTGCACTAATGATCCTTGTGTATATAAATTCTTCTTGTTGTGAGCAGACACCATAGGCCACATAAAAATGTTTGCCTCAATTTCCCTGCAAAAAAGGATCTCAGAAACCAGACTTGGCCAAGTAACAGATTTTTTAAAGGTAGAGGAACCCAATAAAATTACCAGCTTTTCACAGCATGAGTCTACTTCCTTTCGACATATTGTGAGGTGTAGGTGAAGTATTCTAACTGAACTGACAGTGTAAGGAAGACAGCTAACTAGAAAGCAAGATAAAAGTAAAAACCACCGATGATGATTGATATTGTAATACCTATTAATTGTTTTGGAGCCTCTTTTGTAGATTTATGATACTTCACCTATATTACTTACACTCATGTGAGTCTTGATATAATGAGATTTAATGCAGTAAAGTATCACAGTTAAATTCACTGTATCAGGAAGAGCATTTTTAAAAACTTATCAGGGATTTTATTCATTTTAATAATGTTAATATACGTATGATTAAAACTGGGTTTTGTTTTTCACAGAAAAATTAAGACGCTTTTGTTCCTTGTAACTGTAAGAAAAAGGTGAAATAATTAGTTTCTTTGATCTAGTGTAATGGGGGTTTTTCAGCTGCCCCAATTCAAGTTAATTTGCGCAACATACTGTGAATGTATTACACATGCCATGTTTTAAGAATATGAAGAACACTAAGACACCTGTGAATGTGACGTTTTCTTCCAGCTTTTCAAAATCAATGCTTCTTTTTTAAAAAATGGGCCAATCTTCATAATTTTACACGTTTTCATTTTTGTCTTCTGCTCCAAATGTATGGCATTAAGTTCAATCAGTTTGAATGAAAAAAGATATAAGGACAAAGATAAAGATATTAAAATACATAAAGATGAAATACAGGAGTCTGTTGTGGATTTTGGCAGTACTTATGACTTTTTGGGAGTGTGTCTCTACATACATGAACATCCTAAGATGTCCAGCTGTCATTGAATTGAGTAATATGGCTAGATCGTTAACTGTAGCCTGTCTGCATGGACATTGCCAATAATAGTAGGACGGGCTGTATAGCAAGTAAACCAGAAAATATTTTCTTGGTACTTTTATACAATCGCATACTTGTCCAAAAGAGAAAATAATTCATGTTAATGTCTCTTAACACTGATTATTATTAGTTCTGTTAAAAACGTGTTCATTTATCAGATTGTATTTTATTCGTTTAATCTCAAACATGTTTTGCTTTATCATGTCACTTCAAAACAATGCTGATTTGTTAGAACTGGTGTTGAGTACAGAAACATGGATAAGAAAATATAGCATTAAAAACCACTTTGTGATTTTGGGGCCTTTTTTGTGACAAATCTCTGACTGAAAATTCCAGTTAGATGTACAAATCTTGATATTCTTATTAAAGTGTTCTTTTTTTCAAATTACTTCCTCTCATTATAATAGTTCTGTACCTAAAAAAATCTACTAATAGTTACATATTTTTCATTTCCAGTATGAGTTCAAATTACCTCCAAAAAGTTGCTTTTCTAGATAAGTCTGGACAAATAAATTTCTCCTTGTAAGCAGATTTCAGAATATTCCAAAATAGGATGAAAGTGAAACCACAGGGGGGAAGTTTTTGAATTCAATATGTGTATTTTAAAATCTTAACAATTAAATATATTGGACTGTGAAAGCAATTTTCCAATAGATTTTCCAATCTCTTAGTTTCTTTTGAAATTTCATTGGATAGTATAGAAGATAATGCAACTCATGGAACCATCTTGCAAGAGCCAACAGATGATCTCATAGATTCAATCGCTAATGATTTTTCTTTAAACAAAGACTTCTGTCAAGCTTGGTTGTTCAGGCTTTATATTTGGTTACACTCTTGAGCTTTTTTTGAATCTTTCCAATAGGACAAAAATAGTTGGAGATATTGCTTTTTTTCACTGCTACTGTCTTCTTCTGTATAATTCTTTACTTCTAACCAAGGTGTAATGTCAACAGATGGAATCATAATTGACAGGCAAAATTTTAAAGCATTCTAAATGTCATTGGACCTTTTAATAAAATTAATTAGCCTGCCACAGAGAAAATTTACTAGCCTGCTGGTTAATTTCACAATGTAAAATCATGGGGTAGGTGGAAGAGCAGGCGAAAGCTTATTACTTTTAAATAATTATTTAAAGATGTGTGCCTTGCCCCTTTCAAACATGGATTGCAAATGCAGCAAGAGCTTTTAAAATGTTCTAAATTCACAAGCAGTGAAGTTTCCTTTGAAGAAATATAATACAGTTGAAATTAAAAGTTATCAGGTACTAGCTAATGATGAGTCACTGGTTATGTGGAAAATTGGTGGAGACTTAAGCTTGATTCTTTCGGGATTAATGTTCCCAGTAACATTTAAATATAAGTCAGGAGTTCAGAAATTGTGCCCAGTCCCATTATGAATCTTGATGAAATGCTGGTTTCAGAAAAATTAAACATCCAAAGTTATTTCTATTCCATTGTGCATCTCTTACTGGAATCTAACATTAGAGAGCATTAGAAAGCACCGTGAGCCAATCCTATTTAGTTTTCAGAAGAGTCCCAATACACTGCCTAAATTGTAATGGGATTTGCAAATGTTGGAAACTTCTAATGCCATATATTCTAAACGTAGTAACATTTGGAACTAAGATAGGAAACATTTTGAGACTTTTCATTTTTGGTAATAAGGCATAATTAATCACCGAAGAGTATACTTTAAGTGTGTCTGTGTGATGTTTAAAAGTATTTGTCTGGAAATTGTCATGGGGGTAGTTTTCTAGTGGATAAAGCTAACTCAAATGTGAGCTGCTCTATGAAGATACCTTAAAAATCTGTAGCACAATCTTTTGTGCTTGCAAATTTGCAACTTGCAAATCTTGCAAGTTTGTCTACCTGTCTACTTCCCAAGATTGTTAGCACCAAGACAAGCAGATCTCCCTCTTTTCATATCTCCCTGATCTCCCATGCACATAGGGAGACCTAAATACCCTAACTCTCAATTCCTCCCTATCCAGCCTTCTAAACTACCATGAAAACTGTGCTGTTCATTGTCTGGTATCAATCGTTCTCATGTTCTCCTGCCTGGCCAGCTATACAATCAGCTGAGTGCACGGCAGGTCATATCTTTGACTGCTGAGCATACTGGAGAGGAAAAGTAGAACTCCATTCTCCTGAGACAGAGTTTATAGTAAGTTCTTGCGTGAGTGCTGTGACTTGAAGTCAGAACAAAAATAAAATGCTGAAAATAGTAAAATATTAACTGGATACAAATATGTCCTTTAGCTAGGTCAGATCTCTTTAGTACCTTTCTCAGGAAACAGAATTGAACTCTTAAGTATGTTTTCTAGCATCTAATTTGTGATTGTATTCTATACAGCTATACTGTGTGTTGATGACTCCGTAGTAGATCTGGAAACACTGGAAGCACTATATGAAAATGTAAGTAAGGTGGGGTAAAGCTGTGGTTAATCATCATAGTATTTCAGACACAGAATAAGTGAAGTTTTATTTTATGTTGTCATTTTAGACTAGAGACATTATAGAGAAAAAGTCTTTAGGGAATTTAACAGTAATAAAATAGGTAACATAAAAAAATACCCATTGACATGCTTATTTCTCTTACTGGCTTAGTTCTTAAATGTCAGAAATTTAAAACAGTGGAGTGCCTTTGGAATCAAGTTAAAATGTAACAAAAGGTGTAACATCTAGCAGTGTTCTCTCCTGAACTGCCCAAAAAATACTGTCCTTCCTTAAGACCTATTTTGTGCTAATGTGCTGGATTTTTCTCATTCAAGATGTAAGTGCCTAAAACAGTTAGCTCGGGCTAGTGCATTGCTGTCCTTACCCAAGTTGCTCTGTAGACTAAGTATATAGCATTCATGAACTGTGTGACTCTGAAGTTGCATGAAAGAATACATTTACACTTGGCTGTAGAGATATCAGAGCTACCTCTCTGACCTAAACTGTGTGAAGCATCCTGTAGCAATATTTACAGTGCTGTGCCCTACAAGGATGCTCTGCTTTGTGGCCATTGGTAGTAAATGGCACTGCAAGGCACTGAAGGAATTTATCATGGATCTTTATGCCTCGCTCTTTTGTAGTCTAAATGTTTCCCGATAAAAAATATAATTATTTGCAGACAAGCAGGTAAATTAGTAATTTATTAATTTGTTATTAATTAGTTATTAATTACTTTATGTTAATTCACTCAGAGAGCACAAAAGGATGAACTGGAGAAAATCAAGCAATATTATCAGACTTCAAAAGAGGAGGAACTGAAGCTTCTGGATAAACCTGAACAGTAAGATTTTTTTTTTTCTAATATTTTATCATTATATAGTGTAGTCCTTTGCTGATATGTTAAAAGCAATCTTGATACATAACTTTTGGTAGCTAATTTTTAACTTTTTTGTGTATTTCAAGGTATGATGTAAGCTTTGCCTTTATCACATAACTTTTTTCAGACATGACAGATTTTACTATGTCAACTTGGACTACCAGAACTGATAAAACATGTAGCCTTGAATCAATAAAAATTTCTGTTTCCATTCTCACATTTCTAAAAGGCTTATCCTTGCCTTAGAACTTTTAGGGCTAAATTAATGTGACATAAAGCAGGGTCAGACTGATTTTGGTTGTTGATTATTTGAAAGGGCTACACAAACAGAGGGTTTTGTTGAGTCCTGTGACTAAGACACAAGGTACACTCTGGTCACGCTGATTGAAGACCTACAAGGCTGATTCCACAGTTCATCTCCTGCAACTGTTGTGGGCAGTGACAACTGTCAGGATGAAAAACTTCTTATATGTTGCTCCTTCTGTTGTAATAAACCTTAGACCAATGTGAAAATCACAAGAATCCATGAGCAGAATGGTAATCCTAAATTTTATTTTAGTGTATACATTTGATTTCAGATTTTGGCCTACCAGTGGTGTTTTTCTCTTTCTCCTAACACAAGGCATCTAAATACTCATTTGTGACTGTCCACTAGGGAATATATTAATGTTGGGAAATGAGGCTATCATGCTTACTCTTGATTAAGAGTGGCTATCATTCTTGAGTAAGATTTAAGAAGACAAATATCTGTAAAGTGTATATACTAGCTCATTCTTGCATCCATATCCATGGCTTTCATTGCATTGGCTTGGGGCATAAGAATACATTGTGTGACTAGTTGATGTTTTCCAGAGCTTGAATCTTTGGCAATCTGTTTGCTGTATGTCTGAGTGAAATAAATATTAATGCATTTTGTGTTCTGGAGAATATGAATCTTGTAGAGCTCTAGAACTATAAAAGGTAGTCTGTTTTTGTAAATAACAGTGGAGAGAGGTTGATCTTAATTAAACACAAAGTTGGATTTATGCTATCATTGTTCCATAATTAAAAGTAAAGAACTGTAAATAGAACAGTTACGCCTGATCATTCAGAGTGAAATAGTAGTGTCAAGGACAAAAGCTACTTTTTATCTATTATTACTCTTTGTGTTCTCTCTGCAAGTCATAATTATCCCATTTTTACCCTATTACTAAACTACATAGGTTAAGAAAACTAGCTTTTTAAAATGTTGCCTCAAGGGGGAAACAATGTGCTGATGATGCACTTACGTAAATTTTATTGGACCTTCAAAATCATGTCCTTTCTGAAAACTCAGTAGATCAGGTGCTGCTGGTGGTGTTGTCTAAGTCAGCCTCTAAGTCAACTTAAATGCAGAACTGGAGATTTGTTGAAACTGTACTATGCATATTAACTCCATAAAAGGTTAAAGACAGAAAAGTGCTAAATTTGTATGTGTGATTAAAAATATTTGCTACAGGGCATAAGCCTCATGTATTTTCTTTAATGAGGATCAGAACAAAAGTGCAAACCATTTATCAAATGGTTGCAAATACTAACAATAGGCATTCATATAATGAAACCATTGGTGTGAATTCACTGAAGTCTAAAGGAAACCTTTGCCGTTTTTAAATGCTTTTGGATTACCAGACAAATAGAAAGCTTTAGTGGTATCACTGATGCTCTCCTGCACATGTGATTTTGATTTGTTTTGCTGGCACGTTAGATTTGCTATTGTTGGCACAAACTGTATCACAGCAACATAATACCCCCCTAAATTATGCTTCATGATAATAGTTGTTAAAATGCTAATATTCATTAACATCATAAAGATTTATATGCATAATTGGCCACAATTTGGGGCTTTGCTAGCGGGATGCAGACGCTTTAGCTAGTTTCCAAGAAGACCCTTTTAGTTGTAATGTAATCTCTGTGAAGTCCTCTCTACTGTGAAAGAAATACTAATGAAGGAAATAGTAGCGAACTATGGTACTGAGCTTTCCTGTTTTGTATGTAGTTTGAATTCAGGAAGTAGTGAGCTATTAATAATTGCTGCCCAAGTAATGCCATTTGCTTCTCTTTGAAGACCACTTTCCTTTGACTTCAGTTTAAATCCTGCTGGCTTACTTAGAAGCTTGCAGGATTAGATACACCTTTTTCCCCAAAAATTATTTCTAAATTTTGTATTCTTCAAATGTGGATAAATGTGAACTGATAAATAGTTTGCCTCCATAGAATCAGCCTTCTTTGTCTATCTTCTGTAAGAATGTTCTGTTACACTAACAACATGGTAATATGCCTGGCTTGAAAGTACTCTCAAGTCCTTTACTACAAGATTCTGATAGGATAAAAGAGTTCTCAAGTAAATGCATTTTTTATTTACAGTTCCTGCAGGAGAGGAGTAAAATGGACCTCACAGAGATCAACAGCAAATTCTCTATGTTTACTTCAGGTCATAAGAAGTGTAGCAATGAGAAACCCATCAAAAAGCTATGTCATAGTCACGTCATCATTACTTTAAGTCAAAATCATACTTTTCTCAGACTAAAGTTGCAAAAATGACTGAACTAAGAATATTCTTTTCTCTCCAAAAGTTTTGTCCACCTGAATTGGTGGTTTATCTTTGATAACCACAGATTCATGCCATGACTTTGTGTTTAGTAACTACATTTGTAGTCACTAAGATTCCTTTTGTGATAGATTTGAGTTAGAAGTATTCTGTCTGGATATTTACATTGAATACTTTGAATTCCAAAATCTGGAGACATTTTCTTTTTATGCTGATGCTCTTTTAATTCTCAGCACAATTATGTTTTATTCCGATGACCAGCAGTGTAGGAGATAGTTCCCTTTTCAAGGGAAGGCAAGATATGTGTCATTTGACCTTTTAAATTTAAACTTTTAAAATGTGTGTATGTTAGAAATTTAGTGAAGCAGTTTGAGTTTTTCTTTCTTTTGTTTCTCTCACACAAAGTGCAAAGTATCCTCTTTTTTTCCTGGCAATATCATTCATTCCCAATAGGAAGCATTTTTATTAATACCAGCTTGGCATTTCTTTTTTTCCCACTGCTTAAGTGTAAGAGCCGAGCCGGGCCTCCCCAGTCCTTCTCTCACAATAGATTTTTTTCATCAGACAGGAAAGAAAAAGAAGGAAAAAAATGATATGCCAATTAAAAGGTAGTATTTCACACCAGCCATAGGTGGATTTTGCTGATTTTTTAGACGGTCACTATCAGCAAAGCATTGCATGCATGAGAAATTTATAAGCGGATTTGAAGATACTTATATTATTTATTATGGAAAAGAAATAATTTGGAGAAATCAGATGTATTGGCTTAAGTAATCAAAATAAATTTAATAAGAATTCAAGCTAATAATGATTCACAGAATTTCCCATAATTTAGTGAGGTAGAAAAATCTTTACAGCATTACATTAAGGGGAATCCAAGGATATCTGTAGACAGGAGATTAGAAGAATGTTTCTAAATTGATGTTGGAGCAAAAGACAGCTTGTTTCTGGATTTCAAGAAAGCGTGTATATCACTGAAATCCTAGACTCAAAACCCACAAAGCAAATTATGCAAACCCTGTTATTATGAGAAATGTTGAAGCTGCTTGTATTATTTAGTCAAGCTCTTACATTTTAAATTGAAGAAAAGGGAGGAATTACTCATGCCTTTGGGATGCTTTCATTTTGTGATATCTGAACCTGAGTTGTTGAATATGCTTCTATTTATTTTTATTTACCAAAGAGTTAAAGGAAGAAAGCTGGAATAGACTCGTGAGGAAAGTGTATATATGAGGACAGATAAAGTGCAGGTAAAGGGTTAGTAACTTTGCTGAACAGTGACTGAAGAGAGATGTAATCTGCAAGTATTTTAGAGCTAAATACACAGCTAGGTGCATTACCATAAAACACGCTGCTATATAATTGGAAGTGCAGTGCAAATTAGTAAAATAAAATTGAGGCTGAGCATCAGAAGAAATTTCTTGGCAGACATTTTATATTATAAAATAACCTTGTAGGAATATATTGAGTTCCGTATCGCTAAGCACATTTTTAAGGGAAGCAAAACCACGAGTGAAAACAGTAAATAGATAGTGTTTCTCTAGCTCTTTCCTTTTTTTTTTTTTTTAACCTATAGTCTAGTTTTATGATTCTTCTATTTATTACTATGTAGCTGTGATAGTGGGTTAATGGATTAATGTGATAATGATTAATGTCTTGCCTTTTTCTTGATATTAATAGGATTTCTTAAGACATTGAGCATAAAGAATATAACAATTATAAATTCTGTCAGATTTGATTCAAAGTAGGAAAGATTGCATGTATATTTCATGATACTACAGCTTTGATCCATTATGTACCCCACAGATAAGAAATCTAAAGATTCATTAATACTTTTTTTCCCCACAGATTTTTATATGAGTTATCTCAGATCCCCAACTTCACAGAACGAGCTCAGTGTATTATCTTCCAGTCAGTTTTCTCTGAAGGGATAACATCAGTGCACCGGAAAGTTGATATCATAACTCGTGTTTCCAAGGTAAGTCCTAATGAAAGCTAAATACAAACATAAATATATTTTAGAGTATTTATGCTTCTTTTTTTACCATAAGTGATGAACCTTAAGCCTGGTTTTTGGCTTTTCAGAAAAATAAAAATATATTAATTTTTTTAGCTGCTTATAAGACCGAAAGGAGGAGGAAAGAGGGAAGGTGAGTTGTGTCTGATGCCCTATGCTCTACATAGGAAAATTTATTTTTATTTGAACGGCAGATTTTTATTACTTTACACATTAAGTGGAGTAATAGATGATCTCTATAAAATAGAAATTAAATATCAGACTAACTTAGTACAGGGCCTTGCAAACTTACGTTTTTTGCATATCACTGTGGATGCCATCAGCAATAGATTCTGTTGTGGTTTAACCTGAGTACCACACAGCTGCTCGCTCACTCCTCCCCCCCCACCCCCCAGTAGGATAGGGGAGAGAATTGGAAGAGTAGAAGTGAGAAAAACTCATGGGTTGAGATAAAAACAGTTTAATAATTGAAATAAAATAACAATAACAACAACAACAGCAATAATAATAATACACAAAGCAAGTGATGCACAGTGAAATTGTTCACCACCCGCTGACCGATGCCCAGCCAGTCCCCGAGCAGCAGCCCCCCGTGACCAGCTTCCCCCAGTTTATGTACTGAGCATGACGTCACATGGTATGGAATGTTTCTTTGGCCAGTTTGGCTGTGCCCCCTCCCAGCTTCTTGTGCACCTCCAGCCTTCTCAGTCGGTAGAGCATGGGAAGCTGAAAAGTCCTTGACTAGTGTAAGCACTACT